AATAAAATAAAATAAAATAAAATAAAATAAAATAAAATAAAATAAAAATAAATCTACCTTCCCCCTGTATCTTCACAATGTCCTCTTCCTTTGAGGACACTAGTCATGTTGGACTTGGACCATCCTGATGACCCCATTTCACTTCCATGAAAAGACTGTATCTCCAAACATGCACATTCTAAGCACTGGGGATTATGCATTAAACATAGATTTTGAGGGTAACATAGCAGTCATAACACATAGCACCTATAATCTCCAACTCTACCTCAGAAGTTGATGAAATGGTACCAGCCCTCTCTTCAGTGTTTGCCAGTCATCCAGGGCTGCCCCTGCCACACCATGGGCTGGGGTCTTGACAGGTAGAAGCCTGCACATCTGTACAAGTGACAACTAAGACCCACCCTGCCCAACTAAGCCATGATTTCTTGAGTGTGATTGGACCAACTGCTTCAGGTTCTCAGCACTTTGACTCTCCCCCCCCACCCAAACACCCATGATGGGTTTATAAGATAAACCCTTTCTCTGTACGTTGTTTTTTGCCAGAGTATTTTATCACACCATCGGGAAAGAAAACTAAACAATGGCTGGGACAGTTCCAAGCACTCGTGTTCACTTTACACAGTGGAATGGGGTGAGTCCTGAAGGAGAGTGTCAGTGACATCAGAAACATGTGTCTGCAACCATTCTCCATCAGCACTCTTCTGTCTCCACACACACCAGCTCAAGGAATGGCTTTTCCCAGCACACCAACTGTATCAAGGAAGAGCCCACACCTTTCTGTGAGAGGGTTTTTCTCTGGTTGTTTCTGCTTTATCAGCATTGGGTAAAATGACACAATAGCTATGCATGGATCAAGGAACATTGGAGTGAGGACAGTGGGAAGAGAGGAAGAGAAAGAGGGCTGGATAATGGTTACATCAGACGTAGCTGTGTGCTGTGGGACCAGGAAAGGCCTTGGGAGCAGTTGCTGTCCTCCCTGTTTCTGACAGGGACACATGTGGGCTCAGGCAGCTCACAGGATGACAGGGATATTTGCCTTGGTGGGAGATGGAGGTGTTGAATCACCCCCAAGAAGCTTCTTCTCTGTCTCTTCCTCATTCTGAAAGTAAAACAGGAGGAAGAAATCAGTGAATGGAAGAAAAGCAATGAAAACAGGGTTAGCTTCATCAATAAATGGAAGGAAAGCATGAGAACTGGGTTAGCTTCATGAATGAATGGAAAAAAAGCATAAGGATGAGGTTAGAGTCATCAATGAATGGAAGAAAAGTGTGAGGACAGAGTTAGCTTCATCAATGAATGAAAGAAAAGCATGAGGATGAGGTTAGCTTCAGCACTTGAAACCAACAGAGGAAAGGGGGAACAGGGAGCAACAGCAGGAAGTGCATATCCAGCAAGAAGGAAGAGGAGGAAGAGTAGGGGAAGTGAGACACGAACCTGGACAGAGTGGGGGATGATAGTAAAGGAAGGCACAGAGAAGCATGAGGTAGAAGGAGGCAGCCAGGACATGAGATGGGCTCACACTCCCCAGACAGTGAAGGGTGAGTGAGAATAGACTTCTGAGGCCAAGTGCTCATCCCCCTTCTTCACTGCCCAGACTCATGCTGACCAGCAAGGCCCTTTCTGAGTACTCACCAGGGCCTGGGAACTCCGGCCACACATACTCCGAAGACTGAGTGCCAGGGAAGCCACAGACACAACAACATTCAGGATACAGACAACTGTGAGCATGGTGCAGAATGCTAGGAACAAGTTCTAGAGGCAAAGGAGGCGCAGATTCAGTCAATTGTTGGCTCCTCTGATTCACATCACCGCCTTACCAAAGCCATGCTCAGTGTAGACCCTGTCCGGCAGACACTTCCCGCCAAGGCATCTGCTAGTGACTGGGGTGGCCACCACTTCTAACCCACTTGCTTGACTGGTGGAACTGACACCATGTCGGTGATGGGCAGCCCTTCATAGGACTCGTAGCTTCTATTCCTGCCTTTTTTTTTTCAGGGTTTATTTTTATATTTTATTAATTATAGTTTATTCACTTTGTATCCCAGCTGTAGCTCTCTCCCTCATTCCCTCCCAATCCTATCCTTCCTCCCTTATCTCTTCTCATGCCCCTTTCCAAGTCCACTGATAGGGGAGGTCCTCCTCCCCTTCCCTCTGACCCTAGCCTATCAGGTCTCATCAGGACTGGCTGCATTGTCTTCCTTTGTGTCCTGATATGGCTGCTCCCCCCTCAAGGGGAGGTGTTCAAAGAGCCAGCCACTGAGTTCATATCAGAGACAGTCCCTGTTTCCATTACTAGGGAATCCACGTGGAGACTGAGCTACCATGGGCTACATCTGTGCAGGAGTTCTAGGATACCTCCATGGATGGTCCTTATTTGGAGTATCAGTCTCAGAAAAGACCCCTTTGCCCAGATTTCTTGGTTCTGTTGCTCTCCTTGTGGAGCTCCTGTCCCCTTCAAGTCTTTCTATCTCCCCTTCTTTCAAAGATCCCCTGCACTCTGCCCAAAGTTTGGCTATGAGTCACAGCAGCTGCTCTGATACCCTGATGGGTAGAGTCTCTCAGGGCCCCTCTGTGGTAGGCTCCTGTCCTATTCCCTGTGTTCTCCTTTTTCCGATGTCCATCCCATTTGCCTTTCTGAGTGAGGATTGATCCTCTTACCCAGGGTCCTCCTTCTTGCTAGCTTCTTTAGGTGTACTATTCCTGCCTCTTGACAAGCTTGTCATACTCCCCACCCCCCGGGACCTGATGCTATTCTGGGAAGCCAGAGGCACATAAAAAAGCTGCTTTAGGTTCTCAGGCTGACAGCCCAGCTCAGCAACCGGCCAACAGTCAGAAGCCACATCATCTGCCTGCCCCCTAAGTGCCTCAGTGTGAGTGCCCAGCCCTAGTGAGCCCTTGGATGGCCACCCCCACTTTCTTTCCCTGCAGCTGCCTAGAAAATCCTGAGTGTAAACTGTGTCTCAAACCAGCCACCCCAGACAACTGCTTTTAAATCCACCATACCTGGGAGTGATTTCTTACCCATCAATAAGTAGATAATCAGAACAGCCATTCAACAGGAAAGGCAGAAGGGTGGCCTACAGTCTACCCCAATCCCACCTTTGAGTCAGGGATCTTCTTGTAGAAAAGTCTGAGAGATGCCCCCAGCTTGAATGACAACTTCCCAACCAAAGGCCTAGGATGAGGGCTAAGTTCACAGAGCCTTCTTCCCTGCCCTCCAGGGCTCCAGTCCCTATGAGCAAAGCACACCTCCATTCTCACTCACCATCATCTCGTTCAGGTATGCTCTGCACCTCTCCATTCTCCAGTCCGAGTCATAACTGAATTTCACTGTTCCGTACTCACTGTCCCTGCCAGGTTGTAAGAAGTCACACGCGGAACTGATCTTGAAATGGTAGGAAGCACTGCTTTGCCAGATTAAGCTTCTCACACCCAGAACAGTGGCAGACACAGCTGTAGCCATGCAGGCCAGGAGGAGCAGGCGTGATGCGTGGCCCTGGAAGAGAGAGGTCCTGATGCAGATGCTGTTCATCAGTGGCAGGGTCACAGGACCGCAAGCCTCAAACCTACCCATCATCCCCTGCTGCTGTGACAGGAAGCCCCTTCACCCTCCAGGAAAGACTCGTTTTATTGGTAACTAAAGGATAAAAGGCAGGAAAGTACAGGAATGCTTTGGGGAGTGTAGATGGACAGTGTTAATACTGTTAATAAAGAGGGAGCCCAAGACTCACAGACAGTTTTCCCTGTCGCTTCTCATGGACAATAGTACCAACTCCAGCTAAAATTGCCTGGAAAGAGAGAAAACGCCAGAAAAAATAAAACAGTGGCCTCCAGTTTACTTTTCTGGCTAGGTTTACCATTACTCTTTCACCGACAGCTCCCAGAACTAAACTAAAAGCAGCATATGGGCAGACACTGTCACCTATATCCTGCCCTTTCTAACATTGCTAGAAAAAAAAAAAAAAAAGTGCATCGGAAGGTTTTCTCCAGCCCTAAGACAATTGTTACTTCCACAGAGCTCCTTGCTAGCTCCTTACTTACCACAGAGCCTGACCAGAAGGCACAGCCAGAGGCACACAGCTCAGTCCATGGCCCAAAGTAGATACACACTCCAAAAACACAGCTCACTAGCCCCAGCAGTATCTGGGTCACCTGCAAGACAGGAGAGGGAAAAAATCAACTCCCTTCACATCCTGAGGATAACTGCACAGCTCCAACCCCGGGAGCTGGCTTCACCTTTTCCTCTGCTTTGACCTCCTTTGCAGCTCTGATTCTGGAAGGTTCTATTCTAACATCCACTGAGTCAAACTGATCTGCTTTTTTACCCCACCCCCACCCCTGAGTCTTTGGCTATCTGTGTTTCATTACTTTTTCCTAGCATCGTCCCTCTATCCCGATTCTTACCATTTTCATCTCATTCTCCCTCAGGAATATCATCCTGTCAAATCCTGCACCTGTCCTCAGCATCTGACCACAACCTAACTCCTCATATCCAAACACAATGTGGAGGGCTCTGCGTAGACAGAATGTAGGACTGAGGGGCTGGGAATACAAAGACTTCCGTGAGCCCTTGGATTCAATCCCCAGGGCCAGAGAAGCCTTGACGAGGTTACCCATGCCTATAAACCCAGCATTTGAAAATAGGAAGCAAGGGTGAAGTTCACGGTCGTCCTTGATTACATATTCCGGGCAGCCTAGACTAAATAAAATCTTGTCTCAAAGGAGAGAGAGAGAGAGAAAGAGGGAGAGAGAGAGAGAAAGAGAGAGAGGCCAATGAAATATCTTTTTTAAGAAAAAGGTGTGGCTACAGATAGCCTGCTCTGAGGGATATGCCCCAGTCTTTCAAGCTGTGGGCAAGTTCTTTAAGGAATCATCCCAGGCAGTGAAGAAGGTGGTATTTAAAGGGCTACTTCCCTGTACCGTGGAGCTTTTCAAAAGGCTCTTCTACCATATGATGCTCCCACTGCTCAGTCCAACCCGGCTATGTTCATCTCATCAGTGTAAGCCCCAATAAAACATGGATAGCCCTAACTCTGATGAGTGTTCTGTGCTTTTTGTTTGTTTGTTTGTTTGTTTTTGTTCTTGTTTTTTAGAAAATCCAACTACACTGACTGCTCTCTGCATGTCCTTCCAGCACCTTGGATTCCTCCATTAAATTGTACCAAGCCCCACACCTCAAGGACAGCCTCTCCTGTCTTCCAGGATTCTCATTGTCTTCTCTAAGCCTCCGTATGCCCCTGGCCTTTTCTCTTCCTGGTACCCCAAACCTATCCCATCCCAAGTTATGGGGACCCCACTCAAAAGATATGGATTCCTGCTCCTCCTCATTACTTCCACTCTGACACATAAGTACAGAGCCTGGATCCTTCCTGCTAAACTCCTCCGAGCTCTGAGGGAGCCTGAGCCAAGTTTGTGCTCAAAACTCATGCAGGGAAGCTGGTTCGGAGCTCCTCACCCTGTCACTCAAGGCTTGGGGTAAAATGGCTCCTTATCATCCCTGAGGCTCTTTCCCTGCACTCTTTACTTTCACAGCACTGGCTGCCTTGTTTCTGACATTCCTTTACCTCGGAAGTCCTATCCTTTCACATCCTGCCGCTCCCTGTCCAAGCCCATGCCATGCTTCGTCAACGGCTCCTCAGGTGTGATGCTCTGCCCTTATGTCTCAGATCTACCTTTAACACTAGTCATGTGGAACAGTTCCAGGCAGTGGCTCAGCCTCTCTGCTCTCCCTGAAGGGTTTGGTTAGTCTTGTCTTGTACCTGCAGCCCTTGGCCTCCATGAACTAAATCAAGGGAACAACTGAACTCACAACCTTACAATCCCTTTCCCATCACCCAGCCTCTGGCTAACACAGCCTTCTCTGCACCAAAGAGAAGGTTGGTTATTCCTTTCAATCCAATCCCTGCAGAGATATTTCCAAAACCTCCCCCTAAATGTTCTTCACTGAGGATTCAGCCCATTTTCCTTTGCCCCTGCCCTAATGTATTTAACAGAATAATAGGGTTATCTTCTGTCCCACCTCATTAACCCACTGACCACTCCACTCTTACCCCTAGACCCAGCTGCCCATGGCAGAGGCTGGCCTTAGAGGACCCAGTGGCCTGAGGACAGGAGAGAAACTTCTTGAGGGAGCCAGTAGCTTCCAACAGCTGCTCCAAAGCTGATTTTTGATGGATATGGATGTTGATGTGAGTGTTCTGGGGAAGTGTGGAGGCCACTTGGACTCCATTCACAGTCACTGTGGTTTGGGTCATCTTTCCTGGTGGGGAAAACAACAGAAATAAATGAAGTGCAGGAACTAGGAAGGGTAAAGTAGAGTAACTAATGATTCAAGGTTAAGAGGATCTTCTGAGTGATGCTACCAATGTCATAGTGGTCCTGATTTGAGATTCAAGTCACTTCTAGAGCCTTTCACTATGCAAAGCCCTCATCCCCTTCCCCAAAGGATTAACAAATGTTGTTGTTTGAATGTGAGTGTGTTCCTATGCAATGTTGCTCACAGACTCAACGCAGCTGTTGAGTTCTTGGTCTTGGCTGAAAGTCCTTTTGAGGTGTAGATTGTGGAGACTTAGGAAGTGGGGACTGGTTGGAAGATGTAGGTCAAATGGGTATCTTTAAAGAGCTTCTCATTCCCCCTCATATTCATATCTCTCCTCTCTCTCCCCTTCTCTCTCTCCTTCCTCTCCACCTTGATGTGAGCAGCCTCTGCAACACATTCCCTCTACCCTGATATGCTGCCTGGCCTTGGGCACAGAGCAATGGACTGACCTCAGCTCAAAACATCCAAAGCAGCAATCCATGCCAGCAAACCTGTAAATCTACCTTCCTTCAAGTTGTTTTTCTTATATCTTTATTCATGGTAATAATGTAAGGCTGCCTGAACAGCGTGGTTTGGGTGTAAGCGTGACAAAAAGGAAGCTGAATTCACACACACACACACACACACACACACACACCACAATACTTCTACTAGTTAAAAAGTTGACTAGCAGGTTGAAAAGATGGCTCATTGGATAAGAACTTGCTGTGCAAGTCTGAAGACCAGCCCTCAGATCCCAGAATCCATGTAAAAGCCCAACAGGCATGATAGCTTCCTATTTGTCCCAGACAAGATCCTTAGGGCAAGCTGGCTACCTAAGCTCTGCACTTAACTGAGATAGCCCACCTCAGTGAAGTGGAGATTAATCAAGCAAAACATGCAATGCCAGTTTTGGGCCTCTACACGCATGAGTATACACATACCTGTGTACCTACACGTATCAACACACATGCACACACTGCACAAATCTACACAAAAGTGCAAAAGATTTTTTAAAAAGCGTATAACTTGAAAATATTCCTATTTATCTTCTCCCAGTTGTCAAGTTTCCTTCTCGACGGGAACCGACATGACCAGTTTCTTGCAGAGACTGCAGTAGCATGTTTTATACACAAGAGTATGAAAACGTATTCTTCTCACCCTTCTTCACAAATGGACACCTACCATACATGATCCTGTACCACATGGTGCTGATATGTTTTAGAATCATTATATAGATCTGTCTATCAAAAGCTTCCACTTGTATGACTGCATAATATCCCAGTGTGTGTGTGTGTGTCTATTATTTGAGCAGTCTCCTACTGACAAGCACTCAGGTTACTTCCAACCCCTTTGTATCATAACCAGGGTGGAATAAAGCATTTTTAGTGGCTGTCGTATAGGAGTGTCCTACAAGAATGCGGCTGTGCTCCTCTCTCCCTCAGTGTGCCAGCAGCTTCTGCTTCCTTCAGTTTTACCTAAGAGATGTCACATTCCATTATAGGTTTTAATTTAAAGAAAAAAATTACTCAATTTTCAATGTTTATCTTGAAGTTTGACAAATATTTGTCTTTATGCAAACATGACTACAACAAAGATATAGAAACTTGTGTATTTCGAAAAATTCCCTCCAGGTGTGGTGGCACACACTTTTAATCCCAATACTCAGGAGGCAGAGGCAGGTGGATTTCTATGATTTGGAGAGTAGCCTGGTCTACATGGCAAGTTCTGGTCCAGCCAGGAAAACACAATGAGATCCCGTCTAAAAAAAAAAAACAAAAATAAAAATTCCCCAGTACCCTCTTCCAATAAATCCCCTAGCCTGGGCTTTCCAATTTGGTTTTATAATTGTTCTGTTAGTACTTTTATTCTGAATGCAGTTAATCTTTGGACTGTACGTCACAGTTTGGCAGCTGCAGAGGCAAGGACCCATGGTGCTGGTCCATGTATTAATTTCTGAAGAAGAGTTTCTACTGTGGAATACATCATCTTTCTCCCATTGACTAAAAGCACTTCCCTGAGTTTACATAGGGCCTTGGACCCATAAGGTCTTCATATTCTCCCTACTTGGGTATCTGATCACAACCTCAGTGCTGCCGTAATTCTAATCAGCATAGAGTTTAACACATGCCTGCCTGGTCCCCGACTCTCTTGTTACTGGTTCAGAACTGTCATGGCCACGTTAGACCCTCTGATCAGTTGCCTCCATCCAAAGGAAATTCTGTGCAGGTGACTGTACTGGGCAGTCTGTTTAAGTATCTGTTTTTACTGGACATTGATAACCACTACAGTAATCACCTCCTTTTGCATTCGTTTGTCTTTTCCCCACACTTCAGCGCACATTTCACTTCTACTCACCTGAGAGGACGGGAGTCCTGTGACTCTTTGGGAAAGTGATAGACTCAGGCTTCACAGGAACACAACTGGAGGTCCCAGGTTCTCGCCTTTCCTTCTAGTTCCAGGGGTCAGGAATAAAGTATTAGTCTTCATGGGTCTGGATGCTGGCCCCCTCCAGGCCCCTAGTACCACCCCTGCCCTGGCCACTTGGAATCCCTTTGCTTCTTCTGCAAAGCAGGAACTAAACCCTTAGGCACCAAGAAACCTCTGTGATCACCACTGCTGCCGCTACTCCAGATGGCAAGTGGCTCTCTGACAGTCCTCCTCCCAGTACCCAGGAACAAAGAAAAGAAGCCCTGCAGTGTCTTCACTCGACAGCCGTCCCGCCTCTGTGTGGTCCCAAAGGCCCCACTTTCAGAACCCAGGTATGAGGCTCTGGAAATTATGAAAGCAAAGCCAGACCCTGTCCTCCTCCCCAGCCTCAGCCTCTAGAGTCCCTCTGGAAAGCAGAGATGGAAGGAAAAGAAGCATCTTGGGCCAGTGCAAAGCTTGAGGTGTAGGCTTGGAGACTCTTCCAAAGAAGGGGCTCCAAGAGGGGCTACCCTGGGGCTGTGGAGGGCCCTGTCTCACCTGCTATTCTCTGAGAGAGGTGGGGCTGGGACCGGGAGGTCTGGGAGGAGCTGACTTAAAGTTGACCCCACAGTAGATAAGAGGAAGGAGAGCAAGAAGATGGGGGAGGGATGGGGGCCTGACCTGGAGTCTCTCATTTTCCCAGCAAGTAGCTGACACGCAGGGCCCCACTTGAGGGGGCTCCATCTGCAGTAGATGGCCAGGCCTGCTTCAGCAGGGTGCAGATGACACGGAGCCACTCATACATTCAAGGTGGCGCAGGCCCACACTTGCTCAGAAGGCTCCAGCCCTGATGCAACCGGAAAAGAAGGCACTGTCAAAGGATTCCACAGGATTGGCAGTGCCAGACCCATGTCTGTGCCTACCTCACCCACCTTCTCCAGCCCCCCAGTGCCCAGTGAGGAAACGAGTGCTGGAAAGCCCCTGAAGGGGCCCTCAGTCTCAGCTGCCTGCCAGGAAGCAGTGAAGTCTACTCATCCTTCCCTCCCCTCTGGCTCTGACCCAAGAACTTCCTCGCTGAAGTTCTCAATTCCACCCAGCTCCGCCCTGCTCCCTGCAGCCTTGCCTCTGCATACTCCCCTGGTCCCAGAGGAAAGCAGGTAAGGCAGCCCACCTTCACCCCTGCATGGCCCCTTTCCCAGTCCACCCAGAGCCTTCCAGTCTGGCGCCATAAAAGCTTGCTAGGCAAATGGGCACACTGGGATATGCCTCCAGGGGCAGGTGCGGCCCCCATCTCCACCACTCAACCCTGTGTGCAGGGTCAGTGGGTGCTAAGCATTCATCCAAAGAGTCTTGAGAATGAAGTGGTCCCTAGGCCCCCGATAAGGAAGAGATATCGCAACAGAAGCTTAGCGGACAGCTGGAGGGGGCCTGCTGTGTAAGGGGCTTGGACTCTGCCGTGGCGTCAGAGAACCCTGGATAAAAGAGGCTGAGAGAAGAGACCCAGTCAGGGCTGAGAAGGAGAGCTAAGGCATGTGGGCACTGCTTGATCCAAACATCAAGCCTGTGAAGGCCGCGGCAGGAGCTCCCAGTGCAGATGTGGGGTGAAGAAGGAGCTCCAGCAGCGTCAGGCTTCCCTGACTGACAACCCTCAAGACGGGTCAGGAGTGCAGCTCCACAGCCAGCGGCAGCCTTTCTGTGCCACTTAACTCCCCAACTCCAAGAAGCCTCTGAAAAACCGCCAAATAGTCTTTCCTTCTTCCTTTCTTCCCTCACAGATGATGTCCACAGACATGGAGACTACAGACGTCCGTGAGGTGGACCCTGAGGCCCCACAACCCACCCAGATTAACGTGCACATCCATCAGGAATCTGCTCTTGCCAAACTTCTGCTGGCCGGATGCTCAGTGCTAAAGCTTCCAGCATCTGCCTCGGCCCGGAGCCTGGGCAGCAGCAGCAGGCTGCTGGTGGCCTCCTGGGTGGGTGAGAGTAGCCTTCCCTTTTCCTGCTTTCCACACTTTCCTCTGGCCTGCCTCTATGCCTAAGACATCGAGTTGGTTTTATCTTGTTAGGAATCAGTCCACACTGTTGGGGTAACGGGTGGACCTCACTGCTAGAAAGCTATGTTCTCGTGTCCTCTCTCTTCCAGGTGGTGCAGATAGTGCTGGGGATTCTGAGTGTGGTTCTGGGTGGAACCCTCTACACCTGCCAGAATTTAGTAGTGGATATGTCGGGCGCCCCTTTCTGGACTGGGATCGTGGTGAGTGTGGCTCCATGAGGGTCAAGCCTGTCAGAGGGCACGGGCATGATGCTCTCTTTGCTTCCTTTCCACTATCATCATTGACCGTGGCATCATAGAGTATGGAGCCAGGCAAACAAGACCTGCATGAAATAGGCCTGTTTGGTCCCTGTAGAGATGACGGAGGTGAGGGGCAGTCTCAGGTCCGCTGTCTCTTGCCCCCTGAGTCTCCCAGCAGTCTGGCAGCCTCTCCTCACCATCAATAGCAATCACTGGTTAAGGCTCTAACAGCTTGCCTATCTCTAATGCCTGCCTCAAGACAAGGGAAGTGGAACATGTCAGGCAGGAAGAGCTACCTTCTGGCTCTCCTACTTCCTTTTGCTCATCCTATGGGAATCCATGAATGGATTCTAACAGATGAGTGCTATTGTATCTAATGATGGCTGTTTAGGTTGAGTACAGTGGGTAAAGAGAACTTTCTGACAGACCCGCCCTCTCAAAACAGCAAACAAACAAACATGTATTTACTAAGAGGGGGGATTAAAGTAGCCATGCTATCCCATCCAACAGCAGAAATATATGGATAAGTTATAGAATAACCAAATAGGATCAGGACCCATGAGTCTGCTGGGCTGTACCAGACTTCCTGTTCTTCTCTCCTAGTCACATGAACCCAACAGCTGCTAAGACAAGTGTCTGGACCCAAATATACCTAAAGCCACATCCTCCATTGACAGCTTTGCCAACAATGTGGGACTGTGACCCACGCTATCTCTGGTCCCTGGAACTTTCCTGAAGGATTTAGCGTGACTTTAAAAGAAGACTGTAGGGACAGACAAGAAGGTTCACACCTGGCTTAGCCATGTGTGCTTAGGGGTCACTAAAACAGTGCCCTGCAGCCTCACAAACGTGCTCCAGGCTCATAACCCCACACCGTTAGTCACTCCACCTCTGGCAATCAAATGTGGCAGAACACCTGGCGTGCAGGTGGAATGGTATAGGCCACATGGCTGGCACTATTGATGGCGGGCACAGGGGAAATGAGGCAGAGGATTACTGGGCATATGTCTTATGCTGACTCTTTCTGTTCACTCTCTCCCCAGGCTATGCTGGCTGGAGCTGTTGCCTTCCTTCACAAGAAATGGGGTGGCACCTGCTGGGTGAGTTTAGGACCAGGCAAGACCCAGGCTCTGCCTCAAGGCTATGCCAGGCCTCCCACCCCATCACACACATGCTGGGTAAAACTGAATCTTTGATGTCTCCCTCTATCTCCTCTTTTCCCTAGGCCCTATTGAGGACCCTTCTCGTGCTGGCAAATTTCTGCGTGGCTGTGGCCGCCATTGTTCTTGGGGCTCGTAGGTTCAATCATTTCCATTACTATCTTGGAAATTATATCTGTAAAGACTCTTCTTCAGATCGCTGGTTCAAACCCGTCAGCACCCCAGTTCCTGAAGAAGCTGATAGGAGAAGCTTGTGCATACTCTACATAAGCATGCTAAGGGTAAGTGGCCACGGAGACAGGCAAGTGCAGACAGTGGAAGGCAGACCAAGATGGGTGGGAGAAGGCATGCCATCGGCAGTAGGTGCCCCTCCCCCTCGTCCTGGTGATTGTTCCTAAAGATGCAGGACTGAGCAAACCAGAAACTGTTCGCACTGCTGTGGGTGTCGCATACTGTTAGGAAAGAAACACTACCAGCCACAAGCCAGGAGTGACCCAGGATTGCAAGTGTGGCAAGGGTTACCAACATGGTAAATCAGGATACTGAGGAAAGTGAAATAACTTTCTGGCGAGTTCTATCCTGTAGACCCATGATGCCTCCCCATTCCAGAAGCTGTAGATGTGGAGATGAGGGTTAGAAAATGACCATCATCAGGAGAGAGGACAGAGGGGGACAGGAGCGTGGCTGTTACGCCAGCATGCTTGTCTTTTTCCCTGTGTCCCCAGACCTTGCTCCTGAGCCTCCAGGCAATGCTCTTGGGCGTCTGGGTGCTGCTGCTTCTGGCCTCTCTCACCCCTGTATGTGTTTTCTTCTGGAAAAGATGCTTCACAAAGGCGGTGAGTCCCTGTGTCGGTGTGTTTGGGGCAATGGTGCTGTGCACACGAAACATCAATGCTTAGGGTCGAAGGAGGCTCGTCATGTGAGTCCCAGGAAGAATTGCCTTTCTGTCCTGTCCCACATGGTCCCTGTTTCCAACTAATGTTCCTAGCCAAAGACCCCAGGGAGCTGGAGAAGGCCACATCTATCCCAGGCCTGTGGATCTTTTTGTCAGTGGTCCTGTGGGGCTGATATTGGCTCTGGTTGGCTCCAGAACTAGCTGGCCTAGAGCACTGAACCCTGCTTTCCTTTTTCTCCCTGTCACCAATATGGCCTCTTCGTTAGAAAACAGATGAGAAGAAACCTCTGGGTGCAAGTGTGATCTAGCCCTGCCTGTCCACTCGCTCTGGGTGTCCCTCCTTCAGAGACCTGAAAGAAGAGCCAGAGAGGAGTAAAAGGACCCGACCCCACTGTCAGGGCCACGGCCACTGCCTGGCTCCATCCAGCACCACAGCAGCACTTGCTCACTTCTCCTTTACCCTCGCCATGCTGGGTCCCTTCTCAGGCAGTGACTTGGTAATAAACTCTTGTGTATTGTTTGTCCCTCCATGGAATTCTCATTTACTAGGAGGCAGGGCAGCGTGATGACAGTAAGCCTATGATACTCCGCACATGGCTCCAACCTCCTACCCAGGTCCAGAATTTTTCAACCTGAGAACAACCAAGTGAGTGTACAGGGTGGTTTAAGAAGATGGATGTTGTGTAGTTGGATAAATGGGTTTTTATTTTTACTATTGAGCAAACTTGAGACATGGGCAGCTTAACATCAAGATAAAAATCATTTCAGAAACCTCCTTTATTTATTTGGTGTTGTTGAGGATAGACTTGTTATTTAGCCCAGGCTAAACTTGAACTCATGATGCTTCTGCCTCAGCCTCCTAATTTGTATTGGGATTACAGATGTGTTTCACCATCCTGGTTCTAAAAACTTTTTTTCAAATTAACTATCCAATGACATAGTGAAATTAAACCCCAGATCATCTCGTAAAAATTACCTAAAACTTTAGGACAGCATATGATTCATAGACTTAAAAATCCCCAGCACATATACTATCAAGAAAATAACAACCTTAAAGGCCACAATGGAAGCAGGAGGATGATTCCAGAGAGCTGGGTCTCGAGTCAGGGTTCCATGAGCACCTGCACAGTTGGGGTTCCTTCGGAAGGACCCACAGGGGCTCAGCCTGTGTCTTTATTTGTGGATAACCTATAGCATCTAAAAGATACACCCCAGAATTGAGGGGCAGAAAGACACTGTAGGTGGACACTAGAGAAATACCATGTGACTTCTTGCACTCACCTCTGATGAGAGGCCACACAGGAGAAGGCGTGCTTCTGCCAGAGGAACCCATGTGAGGTTCTGAGGCCAGGGATTTTACTGAAGTTTGTACACAGCGATTCTTCTCTCTCTCTCTCTCTCTCTCTCTCTCTCTCTCTCTCTCTCTCTCTCCTTGAACAGACTCTGCTATTCAGTACTCCTAGGGGAGAGGGAGGCAGATGTTCCCTTAAAATTCCATTGCTTGTATAAGCTAGGCAATCTCATACCGTGGAATTTTGTGCCTGGGCATACAAAGCCACCCAGTCAGCAAAAGAGTATTCTAAAAGGGTGAGGTGGAGAAGAGGAGCCTGAGGCAGCCATAGGCAGAGAGGGCTCCGAAGATGAGGAAGATGCTGACACCAGGAAGCAGAAGATCTTTAGAGTGAATATCTGGCAAAACAGACAAAACTAAACTTCCAAACCACAAGACCAGTGTGACCTCTTCACCCTCCACTTCCCATCTCACAATCTAAATGTGGTCAGCAAATACGCAGAGTAACCAACCCACTTGACAGCACCATCTGCAGACGCTGTGCAAGCTCTACCAGCCCGCAACACCACAACACAACAGGGGAGGAGAGGAAAGAACCAAAATATCCAAGATCCTGCTTTTTATTTTTCTTAAAACTACTTTAAAAGGGGAAATTGGTATTTTTCATACGTATCTTGTATGTTTGTACAGATTGCTAGATGCCACAATTCAGGCCACTAAACCAGGCTTCAGAATGTTCTTGGGTTCTCTGTCCTACACCTTTACTGTCTCTACCTGCAGTGTGACCATTTTCGTTATAATCTCAAAGAAGTAAAATACAATCTTACTTAAAATAAATAAATAAATAAAGCCCTATGGACTGGAGACATAGCTTAGGGTTAAAAGTGTGCACTGCTCTTGCCAAGGATCTGGGTTTTGTTGGGACCAGGTCAGGCAGCTCACTGTCACTCTAGCTCCAGAGCATCTGACACTTTCTGCTAGCTTCTGTGGGGACTGGACTCCTACGCAGATACCCACACAAACACACATACGCACAATTTTTAAAATATCACTTTTCCCTCCTTTTTGTCTATCAGGAAGTGAAGGGTATTTCCACCACGCACTCCTGCTTCCATGATGTTCCAAGCCCGGTGCCAACCAACGACTAGAGAGCCCTCTGAAGCTACAGCCCCAAAACTTTCCCTCCTTAAAAAAACAAAAAGTAAAACAATGACAAAAATAATCTTATTCTGAGCATTCCAAGAACCTTCTCCTTCCTTCAGAAGAACTGGAACAGAGTCCCCCAACGAAAATGTAACCTCCCTTCAAGCCCCTAGGACAGGCATTAAGAAAACCTATCGAATGGTGATCAGGACTGACCCGGACGGACACTGTGGGAGGTGTGTTTCAGTGCACAGGGACAGCAAACAACGAGCTGCTGGCAGAGGCTGGCATTGCTGCCCACCTTCTCTATTCCTTGGAGTAGGTGCCCTGGATATTGACTGGGTACATTACTTCTCAGGATAATGACTGTCACCCAACTTGCTTTGGTGAGTCGATTCTAGTAATCTAGTTGATTCCACACACATAAGTGGCATTCCCTGTGCTCTCCTTTCTGGCCCTGGAGCAAGCCACACTGGGGTGATTCTGCAATGGAGAGGGAACACACAGCACATGAATCCTGGGGTGTTAGGGTTGATCTGAAGCTACTGTGTTAATTGCTTGACCCCAAGATCTTTACTGTTCTGCAAGCAAATTTTCACTTATCCAAAATGACGCAGTGTAAACCTTGCCTCCCAAATTGTTCCTGATTGGCTAAAAAAAAAAAAAAAAAAAAAAAGTTGTTCCAGCCTGGTCTAGACAGAAGAGAGGTTGGCGAAGCCAAAGTTTGAGGGCTTGGGGATGGCAGAGAGACTACAAGGATGAGATGGAAAGGAGGAAGAAGGAGCAGGTCACCATGCCTTAGCCTGAATTAGAAGAATATGGCTGGGAGGAGCTTACTCTAAAGATTAGCATGATGGAGAGAAGCAGCCCAAATGGAAAACACGTGCAAGTATTTACGAGGGTTTGGGCTGGGAAGTAGACGAGATAGCCTAGAGGGTTAATATCTGCCCAGCCCCAGTTCATTAAGGCTTTTTAAATATTGAACAGGTTTCTGTGTCTTTATTTATGAAATAACAGGTTAGGGATTAACTGATGCCATAATAATTATAAAAGTCAATATTAAATATTAACAATCATACAACACTGGAGTGCCTAGCTAGGTGTTTGTGTGAGAAACCACCCCGTGTTAGTTTGTATATTCTGTCTTCACAACCAGAAGCCATTTTAACCAATGCATTTTCACCTCACAAAGGGTGGCAATTAAACTTGTCCAGTCATCACATTGTAGACAAAAATCCATCATTAAAAAACAACTGACCATTGGGGCTGGAGAGACGGCTCAGTTGTTAAGAGCACGTTCTGTTCTTCGAGAGGACTCTAGTTTGACCTCCAGTACTTACACGGTGGTTCACAGTTCCAAAGGATCTGAGATCCTCTTCTGTTCCCTGTGTGCACCGGGCATGCACATGGTGAGCATACATACACACAGGAAAACCCTCACACACACAAAACACAAATAAATAAATAACTAAAATCTAAAACATTAAAAAATTAGTATCTTCCCAAGAAGGAGCTGCAAAACATGTCGAAATTCAGCTCGCTGAACCTGGGTATGGACCTTCGCAGGAGCCAGCTGAAAAAGCACTGCTTGGCAAAACATGGATAAAACAGGGGTCTGAGGATGACACGTGACTCTTGCTTCACTTGACTGGCCTCTCAGGCACAGTCATCTGCATTCACTGAGGACATTCACATCACCCCACAGAAACGTCCTTCAGTCTCTTCCGGTGTTGTGAATGTAAAGTCAGCCATGCCACCTCACTGGGCACGTACCTTGCCGTCCCTAATACATCTTCAGCAGCCACTTCAAGTGTGAGTTCTTGGCTCTCCAGGCCTGCACTTGAACTTGTACTCTTCCATCTCCACCCACAGAGACTCTCCTGGGAAAGCAGAAACAATTCTTTGACCTTCATTTACGTAGGAATAGTGACCTTTCTGGACTCTCTCAGCCGTGTGTTGCTTCTCACTGCTTTTACCCATGTAAGTCACAGCCAAGAGGAAAAAGCAGAGGGATATATAACATGGAAATCAGAATAGTTTCCTTGTTTCAGGGGTAAATGAATGGGGAAGGGCAGAGACTGGCCTGTGGAATCACACAGGGGTCTACAGTCATGGCTACCGCCTCGCTGGTAACCCAGCAGGTACCTATGTGTTATTAATGAAATGGTATGCATGTTTATACCCTCTTCTGCACAAATACTATACTACTATAATTGCAGCACAAGCCGTACACTGCAGCTTCCTGTACTGAGTTAACACTAAAATTATAGAAGCAAGAACCTGTGTGAAAGTCATCCATTGTGTCAGCTAACACACACCTGCTCAGCATCATCTCACGGGACCTTCTGGATCACAAGAATAACATTTCAAAGTAACGCCTGTTCACTCCCACCATGCCTAGAACTTCTGATAAAATAGTTTCTGACAATTGTTCCCAAACATACAAATCACTATAATGTTTATAGTTGGGTTGGTTATCATCGCCTACAAAAGAAAAGAAGAAGTGAATACTGTACTCACCCTTGGAGTTTGGGTTTTAGTTCTAATGGGTTAAGATTTTATGAGGCCTTACAAATACAGATATTTAAAGATACCCAAAAAGTTATATTGTAGGCATAAAGTTATTGTGTAATTCAACTGCTGATTTCTATATCCCACTCCCCATCTGATTGCAAGCTCCTGTTCTGTATAAACTCTGCTTTCCGATGGTCCCTTGATATGTTAATAAAGCAGCTTACAGCCAATCACTGAGCAGGGCTGGAATTCCTGCCATCCAAAAGAGGAGGAGTTAGAGGAGCCGAAGTAGGTGATTCTGCCAGGGCGTACAGGGAGAGGGCCAAGAAACACCAGGAGAGAGAGAGTTTAGCAGAAAAGCTACAAAGTGCAAGTATTCTGGGATGTACACTGGGAGAAAACCAGATTAACCTAGAGGGTGAAGACTAGAGTAATAACTGCTCAGTTCTTCTGTTGTGAAGCTTATTATAAACAAATATAAAGAATCCCAATTATTTATATGATAAACAGGATAAGAGTGAAAGAGAAACAAACACAGTTATATAAAAATAATTGTACCATCATATGAAAGATATGTTCGCT